TGGTGTGACGTGTACCCACCATGATGTCTCTGAAACACAACACAAAGATACCAAATACTCGATCGAGTGTGATCGCACTCGATCACCTAATCCTATTTGTTCCTTGGTACCCTAAGGATTCTTATTTGGACTGCACACTGATCTGGTGTTTTCAGTAGTACGGGCCCTATACCAACGTCCACATCGCATCAATATTCACCCCAAGTCCTCCTCCTAGGATCCCAGATCATAAGTACTCTACTTCTCGCTAAACACAGGCTACCCTTCGGTAGGCCCCTCATAAGCTCCTCACTGCTACCTACTCACTCTTACGCATCTCATAGCAGCAGTAATCCCCTAGGCTAAGGCATCACAAATCAAGCCACTCTAGTCCTAATATGAATACCTAGCCTACTCTAGCATACATAACATATCATATCATATCTCATAACACATAATGTAAGAGTATTTTGGGAAATCACCGTTCGGGCGTTGACTGATCGTACACACTGCTTCTTCCTGCTTTTCTCAAATTCCTTTATTTATTTTAGAAAAATTGTTTCTTTTATGAAAAACTTTCTCAAATCCTCAGTTTGAGTTCAGATACGCCCGAAGGTGCATCCAAATCCCTCAAACCAAGGCTCTTATACCAACTTGTAACAACGTGAATTTTCAAAACAAATTTTCATTTTTCAAATAACATAAAGCTCATTCAATATTCTCAAATCTCAAATTTAACAAATTCCATCATGATAAAACATATTCCAAGATCATAAAATAAATCTTCTGCTAGTGTGTACGGATCATGCCGGCGCCTTCCCGCGATCATAGGTAGTACGTGAAGCACATAACACATAATACTGTAAGCATAAATGCTTAGTGAGTTCCCCAAAATGCCACATACAACACATAAGCCACTCAAGGCCATAACTCTATGGGATCTTCCGATCCATGTGTCTCGGGGGACTTCCGTCCCAACTCTAGTAAACCTTCCAACCTTACCCTTATGACCTTCCAGTCCTCATCATCTTGACCTTCCGGTCCATACACTATTGACCTTCCGGTCTATATCATGGTACTCATAACATAGCATAACACATACATATCATATACTCCACACAACATATAAGACCTCCCGGTCACACATAGTTACCACTCTAGGTAAAGTATAGTGAGAAGACTCACCTCTCATGACGTATAGTAAACCTTCTGGCCTTATAACCACGATCGAGCCTCCGCCTAACACATAAGGAAAACATCTCTAATTAATACTTCCTCTTGACCTCATCTATATAGAATGGGTAGAAGAGCATTCTACCCCTCCCTGACCTCTCTTGAATCAATTTGACCAAAACACTATGGTCAACTGAAGTTAACTCTAGTCAACGGTCCAACTTTGACCAGACTCGTCGAGTGCACTCAGGTGACTCAGCGATTCTATGCTTGTCCTCTGAATCCTCCTAAGGTCTCACTTGACTCGTCGAGTTAACCTTTTCACTCGACGGGTTACCACTGGTCACGAATCGTGGGGTAACCTAACTCGACTCGTCGAGTCCTCTTATGGACTCGGCGAGTTTCTTTCATGGGAACACTCAAACGACCTTTTGAGGTCAGATCTACTTCTCTAACCTATAGATATTACTTTCCCATGCCCAATAATCACGTAAAGGTCCGATCTTGACACTCATGAAATGCATACAAGGCTTATTTTGGTGAAATAGCTTCTAAAATGGCAACCTAGGTTCATATCTCCAATGGAACATCATAAAGCAGAATGGTTGGGACTCTCTGAACCTCTTAAGGTCCACACCAAAGACTTATTCCACCTTGGGACCTCATAAGCTTCGAATCGAAGCTAAAGAAGGAATAAGAAAACCCTAGATTCTAGAAAACCACCAAATACACGAGAATGAGTATAGATTCATACCTCCTACAACATTCCCATGCGAAGAAATTCTAGATCCACTACCCTCATCTCGTTCCTTGCTTGATTCATCCTCTTTTACTTCCACAAAACCCACCAAATTACTTGATTTCATCATAAGAACTTTCCCACGGTTGTAATGGCTATTTAGGGTTTCTCATAGGAGATATGAGGCGCATCCAAGGTCATAAGTTCCTTTAAATAGGCTCCTACCCTAGAACTTAGGCTTTTCTATGCCCAACACCTACTCGGCGAGTCCATACTTGGACTCGTCGAGTCCTCTCATTAAATATCCGCAATCAACATGACGTGACTCGGCGAGTCAGACTCTTCACTCGTCGAGTCCCTCCTAAATCCTCAAAATTGAAACACAAACTAACATACCCGAAATCCCGGATGTTACATCTTAGCACTCCAATAGGCACCCTGATCAAGATGGATGACACTAGACAACCTGTCTCTGATCTGACTTTGTATCGCAGTATTGTAGGCTTTCTACAATATCTAATTCACCAGGCCAGATATCACATATGCAGTTCAACAAATATGTTTATTCATGCAGGATCCTACAGAGCCGCATCTTATCGCACTTGATCGTGTTCTATGGTATGTTCGAGGAACAATTGATTATGGTATATAATTATATTCCACGCCCTCTCAAGGTCTAATTGCCTACTCCGATACTGATTAGGCGGGTTGTCCCAAAACTCGAAGATCAACTTCTTGATATTGTGTGTTTCTTGGTTAGAATCTATTATCCTGGTCATCTAAATGCCAATGTACTATATCTCGATCTAGTGCTGAAGCAGAATATCGCGAGGTTGCAAATGTTATCGCCGAATCCTCTTGGATTCGAAATCTTCTCCTGGAGCTTCGCTACCCCACCACTAGAGCCACTATTGTTTATTGTGATAATGTTAGTGTAGTCTACTTGTCCAACAATCCTGTTCAGTACCAACTGACAAAACACATTGAGATAGATATTCACTTTGTTCGTGACAAGGTGACATTGGGTCAGATTTGAGTTCTACATGTTCCGTCCTCCTCTCAATATGCAGACATCTTCACCAAAGGGCTTCCTTCGTCTCTATTTCTGGATCTCAGATCCAGTTTGACTGATCGTCAGCTACCTCCTGTTCAAACTGCAGGGGAGGGGGGCTATTAATGTGTATTATGCTGTTTATATTATTTTATATTATTAGGCCCATATTAGTTTATGTATTCTGGTCCTATACTTGTATTATGTAATATATATTGTTGATTAATGAGAAGGGTTGGTTTCATGGGAAATATACCAATTATATATCATAACATAAAGCCATAGACATCTTAGACATAACATCAACTCAAAATCCCTAAATTGCATTCGTTATGCAATTTACTATAAGAAACAAAGCTAAATTCCACATACACATGTACACAAAATTTTAGGTTTTTACTCATTTGATCACTTAACTCATTTTAAGTTTTAAAAGGTTACCGAAATTTTAGGTTTTTGCTCATTTAGTCACCTAACTTTTGGTTTGGTCACTAAAATTTTGGATTTTTGCTCATTTAGTCACATAACTTTTAAAATTATGCTTATTTTGTCAGATAACTTTTAAAGTTATGCTCATTTTTATAGCTTTATTTTAAAAGTTTAGTGACTAAATGAATACAATTTTACAAGTTAGGTGACTAAATGATCACAAATCCAAAAGTTAAGTGACCAAATCAAAAGTTAGGTGACTAAATGACATAAAGCCAAAAGTTCGATGACCTTTTAAAACTTAAAACTAGTTAAGTAACCAAATGAGCACAAAATCAAACGTTAAGTGACCAAAAATGACCTAAACCCAAAAAAAAAAAAAAAAAAAAAATAACTGAAAATTCCAAACTGTATACCTTCATCTATTATTCAAAGGACTTACATGACCTTGTTTGGAGTCTTACAAGGAAACAACTAACATGAAAAACTCCCTAACAACCATTACCTTTCTCGATTATCCTTCAATTTCTAGAAAGGAATAATAACATAGAGAGTCAAATGAAACCACTGGTGTTCTTAATTTATTCTTTCTCTTTGTATAGGTTAATGGTGGTGGTAAGGGTTTTGTTTCGAACAGAAAACGAACACATTATAAGAAAGGGGAAAAGAAGCGAGAGGGGTTAGGTGTTGAAAATATTGCCTAAAACCCATACCCTTCTTAATGGTGGTGTTAGCATCTCCTTCAACCATTGTAACACCAGATAAAACCAAAATAAGAATTATACCCTTGTTACTCGACATAGAAGACTACTTTTACCAACTTCACAATTCGCAAGAACCAAAAATCATATTCAGACCCACAAGAAAACCCATGAATGATGTCGAACAACAAAAAAAAAATCAAGAAAAATAATTGATTTAGCAACAGGAGTCAAAGTAGAAATAGAAAAACAAAAACCAAAAAAAAAAAAATCAAAGAAAACCCTAGAAATTAGGCCTTGCAAAGAATCTAAGAATAACCATCCATCAATTTAGAGTAAGAACCATCAACAACAGTGGTGATCGACTTATATAAATCGTGTTGATGTAGGATTTCTTATACAGAGTCGGAAAGATAAAGGGTGATTTGGTTCCAAAAACCAATACGTAAAATTTGGGGAGAGATTATCAATTGACGAAAATTTGTAATTCAATTTGAAAGTGTTATTAGAAACGATTATGGGAAAATGAAATGGAGAAGCGCAATATGGATTATTAACTTTGTAAAATTATGGAATAAGGAGATGCCAAGTGGATCAAAAGGAGTCTTTTATTATATTAACCATATTGAGTTTTATCTTCAACTGTGGGGACAGATTGTACAACTGTATGTTATTCAAATTTGTAAAATCTTATTACATTGTCTCAAATGTACCCGACACCATCTAACTGTAAAATCATACGCTAAAAGAACAAAAAAAATTGGTTACATAACATCTACGAACATAACGCATAATTATCTTATACGTTTTAAAAAAATGGGCCAATGAAAACAAACATCACAGGTAGTCTTGTAGACAAGGGTCTTTCACAAAATTTTCACATCACTCTATAAAACATATAGGTGGTGGTAAGTATGATTTATGGACCTCAGAAAGCCGTTGACACAGTGGTGGTGTACATGGAGGAGGTGGAAGGAGAATTGCTATGGCTTTGGCTTCCTTTTCCATCGAAATATGGTTGTTGATTGCAAGGTTTTGTTTTGTATAAAGATGCAGTAATAGATGGCGATAGAGAAGCGATTGGAGTGAATACTCCTTTGGCTTTATTGGTGTTATCTATTGCCGGAGATGTGGTGGTATATTCCAACGGCGGCATCCATATCCGGCCAACCACCACAAGTTGGGAAGGATGAGGGTCGTTATGGTGGATTGTTGGACTACTCACCCTTCTAGTATGCAGACGATATTTCTGTCATGCATAAGAAAAGTAAAACTTTAGAACATGTGGATTCTTTAATGAATCATATATTAATTAAAGAAAATACAAACCTGTAAGTGGCTTTTAATCTCATCATTCGTCAACCCGTCAACCTTCATTAATTCCTTAATTTGCTTGGGCGTAGCAACTTCATAGAAAATAAAATTTTACGTCAATAAATTACATGAAGTTTGAATATAGTTAAGATAAAATATTGAGAAATTATAATTATAAGTTCGTTAATCAACAAAAAGAAACTCACTATGAGCACCACCAAGTTGTTGAAGAGCATGGAGGAAGCGTCTGTGCAATTCCGGCGACCAACACCTCCTTTCTTTCTTATTATAAAGTCCTTTATCTTCACCTTTACTTCCACCACCACCGTCTGTGTCCGCCGAACAGCTGTTGGCAGCGTTTAGAACCATCGCCGGACACGTCAATGACCTTTCACCTTCCATATTCGGTGTCGGGCTGAAACTTCTTTTCTTCATGAAAGGATGAAAAGCGCCATATCCATTTCTGTTTGTCTCCATTGCTACCAGTTTGTTCGACAAGAAATCCTGAAAGCAGAGAAAAAATGATGATTATTAAAAACTATATCTTTAGTCAAACTTACTTCCCCAGAAAAGTTGGATACTTTGTTGGATTAATTGGTACCTCTTCGATGGGTGGATCTGGGGTTTTTATCGAGAGTTGAGCGGATGTTAACCAATCTGATTTCCGAGAAAATGGAGACGATGTTTCATTGCTACAAATGATCTTGGAATTACGAGATAAGTGTTGCTTTTGTTGCGCATCAATATCATCATTATTGGTAGATGAATCTGGTTTAATGGGAATAAACTCTTCTAGAACTGGACCTTCAGTTGATGTTTGCTCAGAATATTGATCAGATTGACCATTAACACAATCCATGATCGTCCCCGACATTTGTTGTCTGCATCTTTCAATCGCTGCAAAAGTAGATTTATGCACCAAGAACAGTTAGATCTCGAAAACCCATAATTAGAAGAAAAGAAATCAATCAAGAGCCTAAAAATAGAAAATCTAAATTCTTGGAATGGGATTAATAACGCACAAATCAAGAAGTTTATAGGCACTTTAACCACAACAAGTTCAGGAAAACATAGCCTAATCAAGAACATATATGGAAAATTGCCAAAAGATTTCCATGTTATAAAGAAAGAATTTCTCACACAAAGTGAGTGAAAAAGTGCATGTATTCTATTTAGGAAGAAAACTATCATCGTTTACCTTGAGAGACAAGTTCAAGACAAAGAGGAAGCTCACGTTCGAATACTCGAATCTTTCTACGTTCTTCTTCTAAAGCTTCAATATACTCTTGATATTTCTGCATTTTTTCTCTATAATCAATTGGAATATTACTGTAAGTAACCATTCTTCTCTTTCTTAAAACTGTCCCTCGATCACGTACTTTTTGGCGGATTACTTTACTCTGAGTTTGTTTGGGATCATATGGCTTTTAAATTTTGGAGGGTTTTGTCTTTGAACATCGGGAAATCCGGTTTTAAGGAGAAGAAAAGGATCGAAACTCGATCGAACTGGGAAGAGGAATAAACTTGGAATACAAGATAATTATATTCAATAAAATTCTAGAGAGAGAATGGGAGATAGAATCTTTGGTTTATTTTCTTAGGGAAAGCTTGGGATAAATCGGAAGGTCCAAAGGGGAAGGTGTCGAAGTCGGGGCGTCGCGAACCAAACGAACCTTTTAAATCCTTTCATACAAATGAATTATAATAATAAGAAGGCATGGAAAAACATGACAGGTTTAGATATTGTAAAGATCGAGAAAAGTAAATACGTCCCTTTGGCGAGTAAAGAGCCAAATTCTCTTTGTCAACAACTAAACATTGTATTCATACTTAAAACTTAAAAGAACAGTCGTGGTTGATCTACTTAATTAACCTTCTTTTGCATGTAGTATGGCACATGCTAAACCATACCTAAACGGGAAGAACACATACTCTTGATTGCATATTTTTTCATTAAAATCCCTCGATTGTAGATACAACAATAATTAATATTTAAACTTATGGTTACATACATTCACATTTCGTTGTTCTTTTTAAATATTAATAGTGTTTTGATATAATCTTATTAAATTAAAATATTAATATAAATTTTGAACAAGTTATATAAGTTATATCATTAAGAATATATTAAATTAAGAGTCTATTAAATGCACATTTGTGATTTAATCATTTAACTGTAACGTTTAGGTGATAATCCGTTAAATATTAGGTTCAGATCGCGCTTCTCCTCTCTCGCATTCTATAAATAAAATGAATTCGGCCAAAGTATAAAGTAGGATTTAGATGTCAAAGAATATTCTTGGACAAGGTATAAGATTGGAGGATCGACAATGGCCCATCTGCTTACCTAGAAAGATATATATTAATTATACAGAAATGAAGAATATACTTCACCAAATGACAACGACATTCATAAACCTTATGCTACAGTTACCTTCGAATATTCGAAGATTTCTTCACTTAAAAACCCTTTATTATGTTGTTTAGAATATCATATTGGTAATTATATTATGTTAATCGTTTCTTCTGTCTTATAGTGAAGAATAAGGTCAATTTAACGCTTTCTTGTACACCAATTCCATTAGATCTTAATGATTTGCTTTTTTAACAAATAAACTAACAAATTTGTAAAGAGCTTTCACCACAAAAAAAAGGGGAATTAGTAGACGGAAGTCGCCAGTAAAAACTAGCAAAATCGTCGGTAAAGGTAATATATATATATAGAGAGAGGTTCAAATATTTCTGACATATATTGTGTGTTAAAATGTACCAATAAGAATTTAGTATATATATATATATATATATATATATATATATATATATATATATATATATATATATATATATATTAAATGATATAAATACTTATAATTCATTAATGTCAATAATAATATTTTTGCAGAATGAATTCGAATCTAGAAGAATGAGAGTGTATTCTAGTATAATACACTCTCGTTCTTCATATTCCACTCAACTTTATTGTAATTTAAGTGAATGAGTGTTGAAACAAAAAACGAACCCATACATAAAAACATAGATGCGAATTAATTCTGAAAGAATGTTATTGCAAACATTAACGACGAATGTAATTAATTTTCAAAAAAAGTGAATTATAATTATAAATATCATTTAATATATATACAGTTATGGAAATTATCTAATATCTATCTTTATTTAATTAAATAATTATTTAATTTTTACTAAATTCGTATTGGTGCATTCTAGCATCAACAATTTTACTACACAACTTTTTAAAAAATGTCTCAAACTTAGGAATTGTAATGATCATAAAAATCATGCCAAATTTAAACTTTTAAAAACATTTAGAGATCAACAATTATTACAAATTTGTTTTCAAACAATTGTATATCAGAGTATCCCAGAAACATAGTCATAAAATGTGATGAGCTATATGATCATGCATTTGCCTTCCCGTGATCATCTGAGGTACCTGAAACCAAAACTGAAACCGAAAGCCCCAAGCTTAGTGAGTTCCTCCAAAATACTGATACACAGCAAACAACACATATACAAAATAACAGCACGTAGTGGGCCCAAAGCTTTACAGACTAATTTACCCCTGGGCCCATTGTGTGAGTTTGACTTGTCTTCTGGGGCCCACATCTAACATCTGGTTTGCCACTGAGCCCATAGTACGAGTCTGGTATGCCCTATCCGGCCCTCAGCTTGTATCTGGAATGCTCTTGAGCACACAGTACGAGTCTGGCATACCCTGCCTGGCCTTCAGCTCGTATCTGGAATGCTCCTGAGTCCTTAGTATGAGTCTGGCATGCCCCGCCGACCCTCTGCTCATATATGGAATACTCTAGGGTTTGTTGGCTACCGCATGGAGCAGTAAAACCTCAACCCATCCCACATAACATGTCGACATATACATAACTAATGCACATACAAATAATCAGATAGTAACATAGGTAGTCTTAATGATCTACCAAACTGGAATAACAACTAGTATGCATAACTAATTCACACTAACATATCACCGAATGCTAGGATATCAGATCCAATAGGTTGGCATTGGTGCCTTCGACTCCTTAGTATAGTGAGGATAACTCACCTCACAACTTTCTAACTGAAGTTATAAGATCAAACTCTCGAACCATAGCCACGAACTCCACTACCTATATTTACCATAAGACCATTTCCATAAATTTCCAATTTACCAAAATACCCCCAGAAGTCAAACTAGTCAACTGTTGGTCAAAGTCGAGGTCAACGGTCAAGGTCAGCAGTCCATGTTGACCCAACTCGTCGAGTGCAGCTCACCGACTCATCGAGTCCTTCCAGAACTCGAGAAGTCGTGAAACCCCTCAGTTGACTCGTCGAGTTTCCAGACAACTTGTCGAGTCCATGTGTGGTTACAATCGAGAAAACCCTAACTGACTCGTCGAGTCATCCTGCTGACTTGCCGAGTTCATGCAGAAACCCTCAATGCTAATCTTCATCGGACTCGCCGAGTTGACCATGCAACTGGTCGAGTCTATTTAGTCATTTGTCCATTCAGATGCTTATAAGCCACCCCAAAGCTCCATATTGCAGATCTGAGTTTCTAAAGCATACTTCCTACGTAAAGTTGGAAACTTTACGTACATGCAAGGTGCTAATGGCCAAAATCAAGCTAAAGAAGAGGTTCTAAGTGAGGAAAATGCATTATCTTGCTAAAGGCTGAAACTTTATGGCTATAAGAACCAAGATGAGCCTAGATCTAAAGTTGCAACTTCACATCATGGCCAATACCCGAAATGAATTTCCAATCAAGCTAAAATGGCCCTAATCTCAAGCATGAAGAGATCTAGATAGAAGGAAGTTCAAGGTAACGAGTTGTTACCTTCAAGAGATGCTAAAATGGAGTAGAGTTTAGATCCACAACTTTTCCTTGGTCTTCAAGCTCTTCTCACCAAGATCCACCTTCCAAGCTTAACAACACACAAATATGGAGAGAAACACGATTTAGGGTTTCTGAGCTCAAAAGGGGGTTGTAAGGGAGGCTGATGACCCTTTAAATAGGGTGCAATACCCCGGAAATTAGGGTTTCATTCTTCAGCTCCAACTCGTCGAGTCGTGTCTTCCAACTCGTCGAGTTGGTCACTTAAAATATGTGTTCAAATCTATTCCTACTCGATGATTCAGGGCATCCAACTCATTGTGTTAGCCTTTAAAAATGGAAATATAAGACTATAAAGTTTATACCTAAGATTCGGGGTGTTACAGGAATGTTCTCTGCACCTTCATGTCTGAGATCTCTTTGATTACAAAAGGGAGACTTTGTTGCATTAGTACATGAAAGTCATTAGACTTCAAACCATTCATCTTTAAAACATCATCCGACACAAAATTCTTAAAATTGAGCAATACCTATGAGGCACTTTGATGCTAGACAGGGTCAATGTCGATCCCCTTTTGGCTGAGTGTGTACTTTAGGCTTAATTCCCAATGCTTCAAGATATTGTCATGCTTTAAATCTGTCCTTCGTCTTATGAGGCAAATTCAGCGTTGTCCCATAAACACTCCCGGACAAAATTTTTTCTATGTGCATGACATCTAACCGATGATGAGCAGGCAACATCTTCCAATATCCAACTTCAAAAAATTTGATTTTTTATGGAAAATTTTAGATCTCTCATCAATACTTTTTTTTCTTTGCCATTTCCTTTTTTGGAGTTTCCTTCTTTGAAGCTCCCTTCTTTAGCTTTATCTTTTTTGCTCCTATCTTCTTTGACTTTATCTTCTTACCCCCATGTATTCTCAAATCCCGTCAGCTAGTCATAAATTGTTGGATTAGTGTCTAAGTCCATAACTATTTTGGTATGTACTTGACCCGATGGTGCATGGTCCTTTTGGGTTGCCTTCACCAAAGCAACTTGATAGGATAAATTATGGAGATAAAGGATTAAATATGATTTATTAATATATTATGAGAATAATATATTAAAGGAGAAATCATATTGTTTAATTAATATGAGTCAAGAATTAATTGGTAGTTAGTTTTGTGACTAAAAGAGATTAATTAAACTTAAGGGACTGGAATTGTAATTATAAGATAATTGCAATTTGGGCTATGGATTGTCTTATATTAAGAAGTGGACGAATTCTATGGGGAAACCCATAAGAAGTCGTCCAAGGCCTTAAGGAAAGGAGTCTGTGGGTTGCTTAGGGCTTAAGCATCCAAATTAGGGTTTCCTTGTTAGATAACCCTAATAGCCTCACTATATATAGACCCCTTAAGGACCAAAAACGTGGCTAAGCTTTGTTCTAGGGTTTCACACGTTTTCGGGCAGCCTCCATCCTCCCTCCTCTTCATCCTCTTGCTTATGGTGTTTGT